GGCTCAGCACTCCTGAGCTTATTTCCTTGATATTCTAAGCTTTCTCACTGTTTCCTGACCTCTGTGGTGAACTGAAAAGGCTAACATTTTCTCCATCTCCTCATATCATGGCAGCTGCCAGGATATTCTACTTTCCTATACTGTAGTTTTTCTCTCAAAATCTAATAAAATTGTCCTCAGACATTCTTTTCAGGCTGTTTTAAAATTGTCATTCTAATGACACTAATAAGCCAAAAAGGGAAATTCAGTTTCCTAGTACAGTGTTAAAAAGACTGTTCTGCCACCTCTGCCTCCTTGAAGCCTCCAGGAGAGGTTTTAGCACTGGCTGCAAGTATCTGTGGAGCATGGTGCACCCACCACACAGATGTAGGAGGCAGTGTCCTCGAGCTGGGAGGCTGTGATGTGCAGGGTGCTGTACTTAGCATCTGCATCCAGAGATGCTGAATATCTTCCATTTGACTTTTTGTTCTCTGTGTAAGTCATGACTGCCAGAGACACAAGACCTCTGCCTGTGTCTTTTCGGTACCACCTTAAGTTGTTCATGGGGCTCACAGTGTAATTGCATTGGAGGACACAGTTCTCTCCCTCTAGGACAGCCAGGAGCTTGGGACTCTGCTCCACTTGGGTCTTCCCAGCAACCCCTATTCAGAAAAGAGTGTAAAATTCCAGAAATCAATCATCCGCACTTAGTAATTGTAGTTCATATCATTCATTACTCTCCACTTGAATCTCAGGTGATCTAGGAATAGGCCTATTTTCCTCCCTCCACTTATCCCAAGGTATTACATCTTTTCCCCAAATTATATATATATATTTTATATATATATATTTACTTCCTATGGCCCCTGGCTAAAACTTCCTCTAACTTACACTGGAAATACAGCCATAAAACCACCCAGCAGTCACTCAGGTGCTTCTCCATTGTTGTTCTGCAGAAGTCTGCCCCCAAAGCTGCTGCCTATTTCATAGAAACAGTAACATAAAGGAAGGCTCAGGAAGTACAGCCAGCCAATCAGAGACCTGATACACACCTCAGCTCCTGGAGACAGGACCAGTGCAAACACTGCCATCTTGAGGTGAGAGCTGAACTTGCTCAAAACCTTTGGGTAAATTTTTGCAGTTGTTTTTCCACTGCTGGCAAAGTGATTCAGGGTGTAAATTTTTATGTATCCATAGAAACACAGTAGAGTGTCAATCAGATTCTATTTCAGGGCCTCAGTTCAATTCTGGCTCTACAAAGGACATTAGACAGGACAGGTAAAGTTTACTTTCCTCACTGAAAGCAGATGTCTAATGAATTTTCAAGGTTTGAATAGAAATGATTCATGGCAGAGGCTAGTGGTAATGACTAACCTGAGCTTAGTCTGAACCTAAAATGGAAATTTCTTTAGAATGTGACTTTCCCCTGTTCTATTTGCTACTGTGTCAACAGTTTAAAAAAATGAATTTTGTCAAGAAACAGATACATTAAAAATCTGTTTAAAAATGAAATATCTTTCTTAATTCTTTGACAATTTCACATCTGCATACAATGTTTTGAGTGTATGTTAAATTCTGCTCTCGTGGTAACGGTAGGCCTTTTAATCAGCCATTATTAGTTCAACACTCCTTTTCAAGAACTACTGTTGTGAAAGGCTGTCATAGATGCTAAGGATCAGCAGTGCTTTGTGCTCCCGAATTAAACACTGAGGGAGGAAAAGTCAAGGATCCCGCACAGGTACTGAAAAGTGCTAAGTAATGAAGGTTTTGAAAATTCCTTTCTTAATGCTTCTCATTTCTCAGTGAAATTGAAGCCAATGAAAATGTGAAAGTTGTTTAGATAAGTGAAGGTTTACTGTACATCTGAGATCTGATGCATAGATTTGGAGAAAGCAAAGGAATGGAAACATAGCTTGCCTGAGAAATCAAAAGGAAACCAGAGAGTCCACTCATACAGGACAAAACATGTTCCTAATAGAAAATTATGAGAGGTAAAGACAGTGTGATCACTGGTTTTATGACAGTGTGGCCAGCCCACAGTACCCAGATCTAACACTAATCTAAATCTCACTGTGAAACAGGTGGATGTCATATGATCATTTGAAGGGTATAAGAGAAAAATGATAGTCGGGCATAATGACTCTTGCCTTTATTGTCAACACTTGGGAGGCAGAGGCAGGGTTATCTCTGTGAGTTTGAGTCCAGCCTGGTCTACAAAGAGTTCCAGGACAGCCAAGGCTACATAAAGAGACCCCATATCAAAGAAAGAGAGGGAAAGAGAGAAGGAGAAGGAAGAAGAGCAAAAGGAGGAGGAGGAAGAAGAAGAAAAGGAGGAAAAATGATGGGGTTCCCAAAAAATAGAAGAAATTCTGTCTGATTTACCAGGAAAGTGACCTGTCCCTTGCACAATGAGTGTCCCTCCCTTCAGCTCTTCATGTTGCTGTTTGCACCTGAGTTCCTGCTCTTCCTCCTACTTAAGAATTCCACAGGGCTTTGTAAGGGAAGGATTGCAGCCTTCTATCACCTTTCCTGCCAAACCCAGTTAGGTCACATTATGTAGATGTCTCTTTCTCCAGCACATTTGATTATCTAATGATAGGTAAGGTTTTAAATGTGGCTCAGTGGCAGACCACTTGTCTGGCAAGTTCAAGGCTCTGGGTTGATTCCCAGCAATTCAGGAAAATAACTTAAGATCCGGCCCCAGAGACGGCTTCATTCTTTCAATAGTTTGTGAAGTTGTATGGTCTGGCATGAGAACATTTACATTTTTTCACCAACAGAGATTGTGAGTCCACACAGCACAGGCTGTGCTGAAGCCAGAGGGATTCAGAGGCAGGTGCTCAGCAGCCAGACCGCCTGTTGCCTCTCAGTTTGTGCTCAGCTCCCCCTGCAGTTTCCACCACTGTGTCACGCAGAACACAGTAGTACACAGCCGAGTCTGACTCTTGGACCGAGGCTTTCTGCAAGTGGAAGGAGGTGGATCCTTTATCATATGTAGCTTCAAAACCTCTGCTGCTTCCCTTTTCGCCAGCCGTAATGGCTTTCAGGAGGAGCTGTAGACTTTCTCCAGGATATCGAACATACCAGAAAAGAGTAGGGGATGCTATGGTTGTGAATGAATACGTGCAATTTATTGTCAGGAACCCGCCTTCTGAGATGGTCACTTGGCCTCCTGTTTGAGTCACAGAGTTTCCATGGGTCCTTCCTAGAATGCAAGGAGAGGAAAAAGAGAGAGAGTGAGTTCTGTGTCACCCTGAGGATAATGCTCTTAGATAACTTACAGCTAAAGACTTTGCTGTTTACATCACTTTACTTACCGAGTATGAGGAGTATCGCAGTCATGAAGCCTGGAGAAGAGTTCATCTTTAATGTCATCTAGAAAATGATCTGGATGCTTAGCATGAAGAAATGTTAACTCAGAAAAAGGATGAGTCTGCTTAGATAAAAATCATGCAGGAAATGAGCCTGTGTCAGGAAACTGCACCCCCCTGGTGGACAGGAACTGAACTGAGGATGAATGTTACCCTGTGCCTCCTCCCTGATATTAATAGTAAGGCATATGTCAGTATCTAGGTCTTTGTACATGTAAAAACAGATATCATCTTACCCATGTCAGATGGCCAAGATCAATACAATTAATGACAGAACTTGTTGGTGAGGATGTGGGAAAAGGAAAACACTTATTCATTATTGATGGTAGTGAAACTTGTACAGGCTCAATGGAAATCAGTGTAGTGATTCCTTGGGAATCTGGGAACAGATCTACCTTATGATCCACCTATAGCACTCTTGGGCATATACCCAAAGGACTTTACCACCTTACTACAGGGGCACTTGCTCATCTATGTTCTTTGCTGCCTATTCACAGTAGACAGGAATTGGAAACATCCTAGATGTCAATCAGCTGATGAACGGATGATTGACAGTGTAGTACATTTACACAGTGAAATGTTAAAAAACTGAAATGATGAAATTTGAAGGATTGAGCTAGAACAAATCAGCATGAGTGAGGTAGCCAAACCCCAAAGACAATATTGCATGTTTTCTCTTATATGGGGACATTAGCTTTTAAGCTTTTGATAGGCATGCTACAATCCAAATAATCACAAAAGTTAGGTACCAGATAGGGGACTAGGAGGGAGGAGAATGAAGAAGAAATAGAACATAGTGCAGGAGAATTAAATAGGGAGGGAAAGGAAGACAAAGGTAAAGAAGGGACTGTGGAGAGGGACAACTAACACCAAGGCCATTGAAACCCACATGAGAACTCCTACTGTAGAGGTGTCCTAAAATATAATATATATCAAAGGAATCAAATTAGATACTAAGTGATAGGACCGACAATGCCCAACTGGACATTGTACATCACCAAGGAAAACCTACAGTGCCGGGAATGGGTTACATCTTGATGAGTCACAGGCCAAAGAGGCCCTGTGGAAACCCTTGAACACTGCGGGCTATTGCAAAGGCTATTCATTACTTTCCACAATCTAATAGGAAGGCCTTATTGATGAAGACAACACTTGCACATGTTATCAAACATAGAGAAGCTGATCTGGTGCCTAACTAAACACTTGTCCTCTACTGAGTACCATTCATGTTACTGAAGGGACTTTCCACACTATCAGAGAAGAAAGGCAATCATCAATATCTCCCAGCTACAAACCTTGAGAACTGTGACAGTGACCTGCCTGCAGACATACTAGTGACATGGTGGCACAAAAGTTAAGGGAGTAATCAACCACTTTTTGATTGGACTTAAAATTCTTTCCATGAAATGTGACCCATTCCTGACAGCACTAAAGTGGCTAAGAACCTGAAGTTAGGTAGGTCAGGGACTTAGGGGTAACCCAATACTACTACACTGCTAAAGGAACATAGCAATGAAATGACTCCTAATAACATTCTGCTGTGCACATGGACCAGTGCGTTACTCAACCTTCATGAGAAAAGTTTTCCTAGCAGTATATAGGATTTAACATAGTTGCCCACAGCTGGTCATTTTGCAGAAAGTGAGAGACTTTGGAGTACTTAGTCCTAAATGGAATTTTTTCACCCAAGTTCTCCCCTTCAAAGCCTCAGGGATCTATGTGGAAGAGGAGGCAAAAAGACTGTAAGAGCCATAGGTGATGAATGATTCCAATAGCACACAATAGTTTGTATTTTATTTTTTGTAGGGTATTTTTTAGTTACTTGACTTTTTTATTTTCATTTATTTTTTCTTAGGAGAGAGAAAAGGAACACAAAGTTGGATGGGTTAGGAGATGGGGGAAGATCTGGGAGAAATTGGCAGAGGGGAAATTATCAAATTATATTGTAGAAAAATGTTAAATAAAAAAAGAATTTTCAAAAGCAATAACACGCCCAAATCTACCAGACAACAAGAAATAACAAAAAAAAAATCAGAGCAGGAATTAATGAAATAGAAACAAAGACAGCAGTACAATAAATTAATAAATCCAACAATTAGCTCTCTGTGACAATAAATGTAATTAACAGACCCCTGGCCCAGAAACGACCCAAATTAACAGAATCAGAATTGAACAGGGAAACATCACAACACACACCAAAGAAATTCAGAATATTATAAGGGAGTACTATAAAACCCGTATTCCATTAAGTTAGAAAATATAAGGTGAATGGATAAATGTCTAGATTCATCCCAACTACAAAACTTAACCCAAAAAGAAACCAAAAATTTAAACATAACTGTAACAAATAAAGGGATCAAAGCAGAAATGAAATCCTTTCTGACTAAATAGGTCCAGCCTGAGATATATTAAAAAGTGAATCCTGTATTTTTGGTTGTGAGCCTAGCCTTTAATGGCTGAGCTATCCCTCCATCTGGGCTACAGAGTGAGTTTCAGAAAAGGTGCAAAGCTACACAGAGAAACCCTGTCTCAAAAAAAAGTGAATACTAGCAGACTTTCAAAAAAGATTAATAACTAATACTTTTTAAATTATTTTTAAAAATAGAAGTAGAAGGAGGACTTCCAAATTTCTATGAAGATAGTATCATTGTAATATCAAAACTATTTAAAGACACAAAAGAAAAAGAAAACTGTCCAATATCTAGGAGAAACATAGATCCAAAAACCTTCACTCAAATACTTGCAAACCTCATGCAGGCTTACGTAAAAATGATCACACACAATGCACAGATAGTTCAATATAGTAGTTTGTATACATTTATTATATACAATAATATATAGTTATTATATATATTTATGTACTCATTGTGTATAGCTAATAATTGTAACAAATCATATATATGTACTTAAAGACAAAAGTCACATGATCTCAGTACATGCAGAAAGGACCTTGGAAAAATCCAGCATGCTTTCATGACAAAAGTCCTAGAGCGAGTAGGACTGGAGGGAATGTACATTAATATTTTAAATGCTTTACACGAAAACCCACAGCTAACATCATCCTAAACAGAGAAAAATCTCAAGTCAATCTCATTAAAATAAGAAATAAGAAAGGGTTGCCCACCATTCCCATTCCTTTCCAATGTAGAACTTGAAGCACTGTCTAGATACAAGAGGAGGCAATTAAAGGGCTACAAGTAGAAAAAGAAGACATTAAAGTATCCTTGTTTGTAGGAGATAGGATACTATACACAGGAGATTGCAAATATTATAGAAATAATTAACAATTTAAGTAAAATGGCACTATACAAAATCATCTGACAAAATCAGTAGTCTTTCTATACACCAACAGCATATGTGCTATGAAAGAGAATATGTAAACACTCCCATTCACAGTGGTTACAAAATAGGTCTAATAATAAACCTAACCATGGAGGTGAAAGATCCCAACTCTATAAACAAAACTTACATGAAGTAAGAGATTGGGGAAAACACTAGAATATGACAATACTTATCATGCCCAGGGATTGGTAGAAACAGTACTGTGAAAATGACCATTCTACCAAAAGCAATTTATAGATTCAGTGAAGTCCCAATCAAACTCCCTATAACATTTATCACAGAAATATAAAAAAAGTTCTAAAATTTATATGAAACCACAAAAGGTGCAAGACACCTAAGCAATCTTCAGCAGAAAGAATAATACTGGTGATGGAGGCTTACCACTCCAGATTTTATATTGCTAGAAGTTTCTGAATTTCAAGTTTTACATTGAGGTCCTTGATCCATTTTGAGTCACTTCTTTGTGAAGGTGGTAGGTATGGGTCCAATTTCATTCACAGTTATATAAAAACAAGATGTTACCATTACAAAAACAAATATATAGACCAGTTGAACAAAATAGAAGACTGAAACATGGGCACATGGATCTATAACTGTCTGACAGTTTGCAAAGATGCCAAAAATACACATTGGAGAAAAGACAGCATCTTCAACAAGTGGTACTGAGAAAACTGGGTGTCCACATATACAAGAAGGAAATTAGACCTATGTCAATCACCCTAGGAAAATTAAACTCCAAGTGGATCAAAGATCTAAATGTGAAACATGAAACAATGAACCTGCTGGAAGAAAACACAGGCAATCCAAGAAGGTGAAATGTTAGGAAAGGACTTTCTACGTGGGACCCATTTGCCCAGGAATTAATGTCAACAATTGATAAAAGTGACCTCATAAAAACAAAAAGCTTCTGTACTAGCGAAAAAATAATCGAGAGAAGAACAAACACCCCATAGAAGGGGAAAGAATCTTTCCAACTATACATCTGATAGAGGAAACTATCAAAATATATAAACAACTCAAAACAAAGTCACAATTTAAAATTTGGTCATGTAGCCAGGCGGTGGTGGCACACGCCTTTAGTCCCAGCACTCGGGAGGCAGAGGCAGGCGGATCTCTGTGA